ACATCTTTATGAAGTATTGTCATGTAATGACAGTCCTAATAAAAATCTAAAAGTTTTACTGCAAAGTTATCCATTCTTCTATAAATGACATACGTTGATAGTAAGTTGAGTTTTAAGATAAAACAGACTGATTAAAGTTGAAGAATCTCATTTGTATGCTACTAGCTGATAATTCTATTTCTTCTAAAAGTAAACACTTAAGAAGAAAAGGCAACAAAGCCCTCTAACAGTGTAACCAAATTATAGGGAACAGTGCTGTCTAGTCTCCGAACAGCATATGACGGTAATGAAGGTACCTGCTCAACGGGTTTCCTCGGAGCAAGTGAGATGGAAAGAGTGCTTCCTCAGAGTCTGCCTTTACAGGGAGATTGAGACATGGGACCCTCTGGTAGAAAGGGAACTGTATAAAAATGTATCTTACAGACAAGAAAGAATTGTCTGGGTTTGAATAATGCTATCTTTTAAGCACTGTGCCCTCCTCTATTACTTTTAACTTTGTAACAGCAAACAGCTGCCAGCTGAGGTAAGTGTTACAAGAGCAGGATGTGTTTGGCTTGATATTGAGTTAAGCCTGCAAAAATCCCGAACTCTTTATCTAGAGTAAGGGTATGCAGGGGTGAGAAGGTGTATTGGGAAGCATAAAAAGAACAATGGGGACTTTCATAATGATCACAATATATTCCTTAAAGTAAAAAATAGAAGCCAATAATAAAACTGTTCATGTAGCGCTGGTAAGAAAAACTCTGTTGAAATATAAATAAAGATGGCTCAGGGCCACTTGAGTACAATCCACTTGGTGGTCAGAAGTTTTCCTTCCACCAGCTCCCATTTCCTGCCTCAAGACCTAGAACCCGAGCTGAGGCTGGACCCCAGCAACAAATAATCTAATTGATCGCTGACATAAATACCTCCAAGGGCCAGCATAAATAACTCTATTGAACAGAGCTGGTGTAAATATTGATTACCTGCATAATTTCAAAGCATTTCTACCCTATACTAATCTAACCACCTTTCAGTATAAAACAATTCTACCTATTATTATTTCTCTGCATTTGCAGTTAAAATGAGATTATTTTGTCCTTATATAAAAATAATATAACAGCGGGGCAGGGGAGATGGCTTGATAAGCAAGAGGACCTGATTGCCAATCCAAAGGCCCATGTAAAAGTTGGGCACAACTATAGGTGCCTGTGACTCTGGCATTGTGGGACGGAGACAGCTGGATGCCGGCAGCTCACTGCCTAACAAGCCTGGTCCAAACAGCAAGATTTTGGTTCAGGAAGAAAACCTGTCTCAAGGTAATGAGGATTCCGGTAGAGAAAAACACCAAGTCTACCTCTGCACATTTATATGTATGCTACACGCCCCCATCCACACATCAATCAATCATGTAACACATTAAGAATCATTAACATACAAATGGGTACATGTGTGTATCTGACTAATTTTTTGGTTTACTTAAAGTTGATTAAATAAGCAGTATTTATTTCACTTTGCAAACACTGCCTTTGGCAAGCCTGAATACTAACTCATTTTGGCTATTTCATTCATTCAGGAAGTAGGACTATAATTTTATGTGTTAGTGAGACATGTAAGACTCTTAAATATGCTTAACATTCTAATCATAGGATTATATAATAGCAAGTATTGTTTTATTACTATAAGTAGCATATTTAATTTTAAATTTTGATTAAAGTGTTAATCTTGCTCTTTATATAAAAACGGTAGGTATTTAACTTTATGTAATCAATTTCTGCTAGCCCTTAGTTATATCTTTTAACTAGCGTATCAAATGCTACTTCCTGAACTCAAGCAATAACATCAACAAACAGCAGCTCAAGTCTCTAATAACCAGTGCATCCCTGGGACTGACAAATGCGGATGAGACTGTGGACCTGAGAGCTGTAGGAACACGCAATCACATCAGAAAATGTAAATATTTGTAGTTCTGTACAAACGTATAGAAGCAATGGAAATAAGGAATGCTACAAAAAAAATCTAAGTAAGGCAATCACACTCTTAGATTTTAAATATCAGCCTTGAAGGGATGTGCACACAGGACAAGCATTTCTGAAATATAATACTACTTTTCTGTTTAAAACAACATTCCTGAGCAGGTTCTAAAATGCACACAGCTTTGCAAACTTTCCAAACTGAAATACAATTTTTCTGTCTTCTTTGAAAGATGTCAAACTTCTCAAAAATGGTTACTCTGGCAAACATAATAGTTACTCTGGCACACAAATGTTGCTTGCATCAAAAGTCTATTTGGATGCTTTGAAAGAGGAATCCATAATGAAATGCCTTGGAAGTTATATGGAAGAAACAAACTCAACAATTTTAAATGAGAAATGTTCCCAGTTAGTGTTTTTTTTATTCACCTCCACATACAAAAGAGAGATGGATTCAGAAGGTTCATCAGCAACACAGCCCTCCTTCATCCACTTGTTAGATGTGTCGGCTGTTTCCTGGTGTGGGGTTACATAAGGACATTTCCTTCCATTTAGGGAGAACACCTATAATGGGAACTGACAAGGCTGTGACTAAAACTGAAGGCTGACCTACTTCTTTGTTAGAGTTCCATGAATTTTAGTTATTTCTTTCAAATAAACTGTTAGCTAAAGCTATGTTAGCAAATGTCTATCTCCTCTCTCTCTCTCTCTCTCTCTCACACACACACACACACACACACCTCTCAATCTTTCTCCAACAGTGAGTTGCTTACAGTAACTTCTGTAAATGCTGGTTTCCCATCTACTGCACACCTACTACCGCCCTGAATACTAAAAACATATTCTTTTTCGGGTAACCCTTTCAGGCTTCTTAAAATCCTAATTATCTCAAGTTAAAAAATAATCACTGCATTTCAAATAAATTCACAAGTAATTAAACAGTATTGAATTATATTCTCATAACTTAGAATTTAAGTATAAACTCTAATTTTTCTAGAATAATTCTTGAGGAAGCACTAAGAAGTTGACATAAATTTAATTTAAAATAAAAGAATTAGGCAGTCGTCCTAAAAAGGTAGGAGAACACAGTACAACGAATACATTTTGTCACATGACTTACAGTACTAAATCACTTATGTTTATTTTGGAAGACTGCCACCTTCACTTTTCTTAGCCAATGCTGAGCAGTCACAATATTCAGTTATCGATTTAAGTATAATTTCCACTTAAGTCCTCCAAGGATGAAGTAGTTACAAATGTTTCTACACAAATGAAAAACATTAATGTCACAGCCTGAAGCATGCCAGTAAAATTCTCTACCGTCTATTACACAAGACAAGGAACAGACTGTATATACTATCACAGTGAACTCCGGTTCCATCAGACTACAGCCTTATTATTGTGACATTTACTACCCTGACTTCAAGGTTCTTGAGAACACATAGGAAATAAATGACTGTGTGTGCACGGAAACCACAGCAGAACCAGGCGAGAGATCCCTGAGTGTCTTCTACTTTGTCATTACAAACTGAAACTCCAGGACGAAAGAGTCACAATAGGAAATAACTCCCATGTTTGGAGAAAAAAAATTATTCAAGAATAATTAAGATGAATAATATCACAAGACTTTTGGAAGCTTTAAGTTCTTCAGCACACACAAAAGAGCAGGAATGCAAACCGATACACAGCTCATCTTCCTAACTATTGATGAAATCATTTCTACTTAAATGAATAATTTTTGAGAGCTGAGATCACAACCTATGATGCCGAATAAAAACCACACACACACACACACACACTCACACACACACTCAAACATGCATACACACACACAAACACGATGCAAAATTACAAATATGAAGAACTATTATTTTGTAAATGAAGCTAATACCTTAAGATACAGAGATTAAGAACAGAGCAGAGCACACGTAAGTTCATATGCATCGTCAGGGATTGGAAAGTGGAAGCTAAATTTGACTGTAAGATGTCCTGGACAGCATCACACACAATAAAGAGCAATGAACAAGAATAACAAGGGTAATGCTGCACAGCAATCACAGCTGATAACTAGAGTTTCTTTCTGATCTGCAATAAATATGTATATACTTTCACTCTATCTGCTTCATAGATACAAGTCACATTTTATAGCACTCTCTGTTATGTGTTTTAAAAGGTCAAACATTTAGTAAAAATACAACTCACTTGAGGAACGGACTCAACAGGGAAAACATGGCAAAATTATCCCAGCTGTAGAAATATAACTAAATTTGTAGGGGGTATAAATTTGAATAAGTATTTGGTTTTCTGTTTCAGAAAATAACCATCTATGGAAAAACTGAGGTATGCCTAGTTAATTTTAATATACTGAAAGTCTCTGGTTTTGTCTGTTGAGGTAAGTGCTGACTGTATAGACCAGTTTGACCTTGAACTCATGAACCTCCTGCCTCTGTCACCACACCCAGCTTTAAACTCAGAGGATTCCTGCGTCTGTGAGACAAGAAGTAGAAACTGCGGTTGCTTGCAATAACTCGGCACACAGATGCTGGCTTACTCTGTCTAGAGCCATGTTCCAGGAGGTGGTAAGGATGGCAATGATGTAACAAACTGGAATGGAGCCAATGCAAATGCAGTGGGCCAATCTAGCTTTTGAGATGATGGTTTTTATGAATGGTTTTATTGAATGGCGATTAATTAAACTTTATTTGGACAGACTTAGAAATTAAAAACTTTTCCTAAGTATTTTCATTTTAGACCATACTTCGTAAGGCCTAATTTAAAGATGTGTAAATGGATTTTTGCTAAACTTAAAGGTCTCAGTTTTAGTAATGTATTTTACTTAGGAAATACCTCCTGTGAAAACAGGGTAATTTACTTCCTATAATGTTAAGAATATGATGACCCAACTTTCTATCAGTTCTGCAATATAAGCAGAGCCAAAGATTACTGGTCCATCTAGAAAAGTCAGTTCTAACAACAAATTGAAACTAATCTGAAAATCATAATTATTTAAAACAATGACAGACGTATTCCCACGGTCTCAACACTTACGGCTGTCGTAGCATATGTTTCCTAGCGCCCTGCCCGTCTGGAGCAGCACATCCTGGTCTTGGCTGTTTAACAGCTGCACCAGAGGTGAGATCAATCCCGCATCTACACATGGAATTCGCATAAATTCTGAAAAAGGAGAGACACACTTAATTAGACTGTGAAAGATACGTATTTTACATACATCATCTCCCATAATAAAATAAACACGTACTATTGAAATAGTCAAAGCAAACTATTTGAAGAGCACATTTCTGCTCAAAAGCCCGTTACAACACCATTATACACCTGATGAGAGAAACAAGTAAGTGCACAAAAATAAATAGTACTGTATTATCCATTGTTGGCAGTCTCCGCCACAAACCAATAATATCTTTAATTAACTTTTATCACAGCTAAAGCTGTCACTGTCTTCGGAGAATGACTGTTGTGTTTAGAAACAGTACATGGTGGTGTGCGTGTTCTTCCAGAGAACATGATAATGGAAGGACAGATACGCTATAAACCAAGCTATCAAACAGTTCAATTATTACTATAGGTGCTCTGAAAGTTTAAAGTTAAAAACAAATGTTTCAATGAATCATTTTAAAAGGTTTGTAATTGTTAAGGCCTAGAGGAATCCTGAATGCCTCATCTCCATTCTTATTCTTTACTAACACCCATTTTACGGGTCACTCATCTCTGCTCTTTTTACATGCACACATTTACAGGTCTAGCCAGCAAAAATTGTGCTTTCTTGTCATTCAAATCTGTTTTTCCTTTATCTTTATAGCTTACTGTTCTCTGTTTACTGACTCTCAGTGACACCATTACAGTAAAGAAAGGCAGCTGATGAAAATTCTCCAAAAGCCTGCATGCGTGTTACCCTTTCAGACTTCACTCACTATCAGAATGTGCTGGTGAACAAAGAGCTGTTTCTTCATGGTAAAACATCTTACAAATGACCAACGTTTCACCCCCACTTTCAAGAGGGTCCACTCCACAGTTTGTTTTTGTTCCAAAGAGCCCATGTGTATCCTCATAAACAATCTTTCTCTTTTTCTTAATTGAAAAATTCTCAAAACATTACCCTTTTAGACAGAGGCAGACCCTCCGCCTGAAGGGTTTCATGCCTACTGCATCTCTTCCTGCAATTTAAACTCCCACGGTTGAGATTACTGTTCTACTTCAAAAGCTAACCTCTAAATTTTTCATCAACAGTTTTAATAATGCAGAATATCCTAAGAAAAAGGAATTATGTTATAGACACCCAAGAACTAGGGAGACATCATCCACTTTTTCATGGGCTTTCTTTCGCATTAATGCTTATTTCAGAAATATCTATAGATTTCAACTGTTAAATTAATACACAATCAAATAAAGACAGGTGTCCCCTTCTTTTTCACCAAGCTATACCTAGCTTACAGCAGCTGAGATAATTTCATTGAATACTGTTTAAATATGAAACTGAAAATAGTAAACTACGAATTCTTATTTCAAAATGGTACCTGTCATTATACTGCAGTTCTGTTAACGCCTTCAAAAACGCAGGCATCAAGGAACTATGATTTCCTTTGCTCTTGTATGGTAACTGTATATCTGATACCAATTTCTCAAAACTTGAACTCTATAATCAATATGTATTTGTAAAATGAGGAAAAATAAGCAGTTCCAGAAAACTGTTAAATGTTCTGGGTGCTTTTATTAGGAGGCACACAGCTAGAACAATGCTGCTATAGATGCCAATTTTCAGTTACGATGAAGACAACTTGCCAGCCTCTGAAGAAAGTAAACTCCTAAAAATCTTTTTTGATTGAAGATGGGTAGCACTCCTTAACTAATTTAAAATAACCAACCTGTCTCTCCTTCCTTCCTTCCTTCTCTCCCTCCGTGTGATTGTGTGCACGTGCGCACATGGATGCATGCACATGTGCAAATATATAACTCCAGAACATGCCAAGAATATTTTCAATACTGTTGTATATTATATTGGGGAGGCCTCAGAAGGGCTGGGATGACCATCTAGGTTCAAAGAGGTCCCCACCATACATGAAGCTATGTTCACACCACATGACCCTGTACCTAAATGTGCCAGGTTGGACTCTAAAGCACATTCAGCCTCTACAGCAGTAGTAGTGAAGACCCTACTGTGACAGATCTGCTAAACAGAGCAAAGTGATGAAATAAGACACGGTCGGGCTCTTGTCAGTTTGAACTCCGGAAATCGGAGGTGACGGAGCATAGTATGGGGAAGGAACAAGGACAGTATGACTGAGGACAAGTTGGTCTCACAGAACCTGGATTTCACTGGTTATGGCTAGTCTAGTTAGCCAGGTTGCTCTGGGAATTCTAGCTCTGCCCCTGGAGTGCTGGGAGTATGGCAACTAACACATTAGCCCAGTTTTCAGATGGGTTCTAGGGGCCTGAACTCTGCTGCTCACACTTGTGCAGCCTACACTTCACATGGTGAGCAATCTACCCAGACACAAGTCCAACTCTAAAGGAAGGAAATACTCATAGATTACCTGCCTTGCTTATTTCTCTATAGCCTCAAATCAGCTTTAAGTCTATCATATACTGGAATAATTTATTTAAAAGGTCTAAATGTCTAGTACTATAATTATAACTATACTCCACATCAAGCTTGAACGTCTCATTGAATTTTGAACATAGTTGAGTCTATCAATATTCATTCTTTTATATGCAAATAAAATTTAAGCACATTTTATGCTGAATCTGAACCTGGGTTATATGCTAATATTTCTTCCTCGTAGTTACATAATCTGCATAGCCATGAAAAATCACCTCTAACCTCATTTTTCTATGGTTCATATGATAATCTTTTCTCATTGTCAAGTTCCTATTAAGAAATATAAACTCAGTGAAGATGCTGCTGTGTTCTAAAGCAATGTTAAAAAAGACTTTCAGTAAAAGTCTACTCCATTTTCTCAGCCACTCATTTAAAAAGAACAATGAGGTTAACTGAGCAATAAACATCCAACTATGCCCATTACTTTTACTAGTAGAGTATACGCCTTTCGCTAGCCTGACTGAGAGTGCGAAGGCTCAGCACTCTGCTCTGTCTTTCAGACTCAGCCAGCAGCCTCCGTGGCACCTTAGAGGAAACCTCTGCTAGCAGAACTACCATGCGTATACAGAATGCATGCTATAAGAAAAAAGAGGGCTTACGATCAAAATGAAGCCTGTCTTCTGAATTCTCAAAATCTACACTGGGACTCTGATGAGATTAAAAATAAATTACTTATCTTAAAAACCCAAGCTGCTTTGTATAAAAAGAGGTTGCTTTAAGTTAACAAACAGCATCTTGGGAGGCTCCATTTTCAAGTCAGGTCAGTATCTTAGATGATGGCGTAAAAATCCTAGAGAACCAGTTTTCGGTAAACAGTCAAATATGATTGACCAATACAGATGCTCACTGACACCTGAAAGGCATTCTGATGAGCTTTAAATAAGGGAAGTGTTTAGTGCCAGTTCCATTTTGGTAATTTACATAAATGTACATTGTTTTACCAGCCCAAACAATAGTTCTTTGCAAAATCAATTAGCATGGTAATTACTCAAATGAAATCAGAAATTTTTAAATTTTCTGTGAAAAATATTGATCTAAAAAAAACCATATTAGAATAAAAGGCATAATACCAAATTCTGTCCAACTGAAACATACTAAATATTATTATAACTATGAGCGTCTCCCTTATGCTTAAAGGTTGCTTTACTTATTTGCTTGGTGTTTGCCAAAACTGATTCAATTAAAATTATGTAAAAACACTCCTGAAATATTTCTTCCAAGGGATCTGTCATTGGCTATATATAACACACAATTCGATGAATTGAGTATTATATAATTTATATTATCATTTTTCTTCCCCAAAGGGCTTTCAGTAGAGAACTGAAAACATAATTGTTTTCTATGATAGCAAGAGTGGAAAACAGAATATCTGTTTTCCATACATCGCAACTGTACTGTTGCTATCAACTGTCAGCTGAAAACACGCAGAACTGAAGGGCGGGGGGAGAAAAGCAGCAGGCTCTGTGGGTACAACAGCAACCAACACAGAGCAGAAAACCCAGCTCCCTGCGATGAGATGGACAAGCAAGTGACACAAATCTCTCAGACCTAATCTATGAAAGGATAGGAAACAATGGAGACAAACAGTAGCTTCCCTTTACTCTACTCTGAATAGTGCACACAAATAAGAAAATAACCGCGGGAGTCGTCTACAACAGTAACATAAAGTCAAAGGAAGAGGAAGTAGGAAAAGTCTACTCTATGAAATCAAAACATAATAAAACATACTGACAAGTTAAGGTGTAAAACTGAAGACGTTCCGAGCGGAAAATTCTGGATGAAAACCTCACCGTTTTTGGCTACTTCTGCTATGATGTTGGCTGCTTTGGCTGTGCAGGAAGACTGTGGCGTCAACAGATTTGCAAATAACTCAAGTATTCCACTTCCTTGTATTTTTTCACTTGTTTCTGTGTCTGAAAGAAAGAAAGGGGGGGCTTCCATGAAATTCTGTAATGCAAACATGAACTATTTAAACAAAAATAATTACTCAAGAACTCTCCTTATCTACAATAAAAGCTGGTTTGCTATACCTCGAACCATTTACATTAATGGCCTTTGCTATATACGCTGTTTGTACCCTACTTCCATCTTCAGAACACACTACAGCACCATTTTGTCTACCTCTAGTCAGACTACAATGGGAGCTTTCTTACTCTGTCTTAGTTTGAGTGTTAGTTTTATCAGTTTGGAACAGGACTGCTTTTTTCTACATCCTTTGCAAATTCTTAGAGCTATACTAATACAATTTTATGTATTTTTTTATGTTATATAAAGGTATAGTAACTTGAAAATAGCAATTATGAGTAAAACCTATACCTCATATAATTTTTATGTACTGAACAATTGCTAAGATTACATAGTTCCATATGATGACCACATTTTTAATATAATTCATTAGAATCACTATTAATATAAAGAAATAGGAAATAATCTCCATGACTCCATGATATCCAAAACTTGGCTAGGTGATACAGAGATTCAAACGCTCCTGACTGCTTTCCCTAAAGACCCCTACATGAAAAACAACCCAAAATTGTGACCATGGAAGAGCTGTCCCCATTATCAATCTGTCTTATGGCAACCTGGGAGGGGGAGAAATACTCCCCTGCCCCCGCCTATCAGCGCTGGAAGCAGTGAGAGAACTGGCCCTGTGGTCCTAAGAGTGGGAGAGCCATCCCTGACCCCCACCAGCTGCAACGCTCGGGAGAGCAGGCACTGCACCTCTGCAGGGCAGCAGGATAAGGCCAACCTTGTTAGCAGGTGTGGGGGATCAGCCCTGAAACTGTGACCATGGGAGAACTATCTTCATTTCCCATCCTGTGGATCAACCCTACAGCCAGGCCCAGACCCAGGGTTATGACATGCCTTGTCCCAAGACCCACCCCATGTATGATCTGCTGGAGCATGCGAAGGAACCTGACCCGCAGACCCAAAGCTGCAGGATCTCTACAACTCCGGGCAGCAGCGGGATGACCATGAAGATTGGGGGCCCAGTAGGGGCCTCGAACCAGACCAATGACTCTTTGCGATGACACCTGCAAGCAGAGATGCATGGACAAGGGGGCGCGGGGCGTGGCTCGTTGGGTGGCACTGCAGCTTCCGTGACAAGACTTTTTAATTTTATTCCTATTTTTTTTCCATTTTATTTTCTTCCTTCTTTTTCTTGAATTCTGTTTTGTTTTGTTTGTAGGGGGCGGGGACAGATTCAAAGGCACAGGGAATGAATGGGATCAAAATACAATATGAGAAAGACACATAGAATAAAAAAAAAGAATTAAAGAAACATTAGAAAAACAAAAGCAAACACAAGCTCCTTTATGTACCAATCATTGAAATAATCTATTAAACCAAAAGGCAATAGGGTTATCTAGAGGACAGAAATAAAGAAACTACCCTAAATATTATATTTGATTATAGGCAATGAGAAATGATTAAAATTGCCAAATAAAGTTTGACTATGTTTTTTTTCCTGTAGATCTTTGAACACATAAGTAATGGAAAATACCAAGAATTTCATAGAAGACAAGGGACATGAAAACTGGAGCAGGAAAATCATTCCTACTCAACTAGCTAATGAAGGTACACAAAAGTATATTTCTTTATCGCTAACACTTAACAGTAGTGGGGGTTTTTTTTGGCCTTCAAGACACTTTTACATTTACTAGTTTGTGTGTGTGTGTGCATATGCACACTCTCGCATCAGTGTGTTTGTGGAGGTCAGAGGTGAACTTACTGGAGGTCAGTCCTCTTTCCCCCTGGAGAGTTCCAGGGACTGAGGCTAGGTCATCAAGCTTGGTGGCAAGCACCTTGACCCACTGAGCCACCTTACCAGTCCCTAGATAGTGTTTTTCAAACTGCAGGTTCCAATCTATCAGGGAACTCTAAAACTTTATTCTGGACAGAGAAATAAGGATTATAACCTACAACAACAAAAGAATTAAAAGTGCACATTAATCTATAAGGTATTTTATGTTTTGGGTTAAATTATGTATGTGTTAATATGACTGTACATATGCACATGTTCGTGTGTGTGTGAGTATGTGCATGCGCACACATGTACACATACACACTACACACATTCTGCTTTTGCTACATGAGACCCAAACTCAGAGCTTTTCACATGCAAAGACTCTACTATAAAGCTACACCTTATAATAATAAATCAAATATTACTTTTAATCAATTAGAAACTGCTATTTCATGTGTTCCTCGTGTACTCAGGATTCTGAGTTAAAGGAGCACAGTTCTTCCAGTATATGCTTTCATTTTGCATCTCCAACAAAAGTGTAAGTTTTAAGGTACCACTAGGAAACCTGACACCTAAATCTATTACGTGTATGTGCAGACAGAAAGACAGACAGACAGACACACACACACACACCCCTCCACCAAGCCAGAGAGAGGTGAAGTGCTTTACCATGTTACAATGCTCTGCCTTCTGACAACTGCTAGGGGATCTAGAGCTGAGAACACAGGGTCAGGCAGCCCCGGGGGCCTAGCCCACCATCTGTTCAAGCTGGGTTGACAGCAGGAATCTGGCCTCAGACAGCATCCAGACTGGATGTGAGGCCCAGGCACGTGTGCATGGAGGCAAATGTTAACTGCATGTTATCCATGCATGGTTCATTTTAGCTCTAATGTAGAGATTATGTGAGTACCAGAGCTGAGTGTCAGGGCATGGGAAAGACACGATTAAACAGTGCAAGCCTCTCGCCGTGACACAACTCCCCACAACCACGACCCAAGTAAGTGGCAGAATAGATGGATGAGAAAAGAAATCAAGAATTTGGAAATAGTATGCACACTATTATCCTTATGTAACCAAGTACTATGTAGAGTGGATTCTCTCTCTCATGGAAAAAAGTATGAAGAAGTAATAGAACAAAAAACCCACTTATTTAATTATTGAAATGGGTTTTACAAAATGATTACGCTATGAGACTCACTCTATAAAACTACAGCAGATAACTTGACAGTCTTATTATTTCCATCCTAGGGGTAACATAAGCTATGGTCAAAGCTGTAGTTGGAAATCATCACTAGAATAAGCAGGGGTCTGTTAGTTCTGACTCTTTAAAATTATCACTAATTAGGTAAAAAAATGACTGCCGAGGATTGCCAGCTATAGGGTAAAGTGACGAAAGGCATGTATCTGTAAGCAAACACCATGAGAAACTGTGCTAACAACCGTGGGAAAGCAGAGTCCATAACTATGCTGTCTAGCTCAAAGGGGAGAGGAATTACTGAAGAAATGGTCCATGAGTAAAGTGGATTTCCTCATTCCGGACTTACAGAGACTGGATATATTAACAGCAAAGAAGCGTTTCCCAATAAAGATCCATCTGCACTCTACCGTCGGATACTCTGGAGGATAATAGTAAACAAAGCTACAGAAATCTGCCATCTGCAAGACTCCTTAAAGTTCTCAGTTTAGCAATATTTATAGTGAGCTTAACGAGATTATATTCTGCTTCTCAAGAAACTTCCTAACAAGGGATCTAAAAGTGAGTAATTCAAGAACTGAAGGAAATAGTATCACATATTATGATAAGTCAGTGACAAGATGATATTTACTCCGGTTTCCAGGGAAACAAAAAAAATCATATGGAACACAGAAAACTTTGTTTTTTAAGGTAAATCACTAAACATTGATATTACTATACTTTTGGAAAAAGTTAAAAAAGGGATAAATGTTCTTATCACCTAAGATGTCAACAAGGATGCTATACATAAGGGGTGGTGTCTGGGTCCTCAGCCATGGTGTGGTTTAGGAGGGACAGAGGCAAGCGGGGTTGGGGAGGGGGTGGGTGTAGTGGTATTTTATTTGTATTTTAAGCTTGCCTGAAGATCAGAGTGCAGAGATAAGCCACTAGAAGCCAAGGAATAGTGGCACACAACTTTAATCCCAAGAATTGGGAGACAGAGGCAGAGGGATGTCTATGAGTTCAAGGCCACTCTGGGTTACCAAAATTGAATTGCCTAAAAGAGAAACAGAGCCCACCTTTGGATAAGCGCAGCATCTGGGATTCCACACCTTTAATCCCAGCACTAGGGAGGTGCAGACTGGAGTGATGTGGCTGGGCAGAGAGAGGAATAAGGACAAAGGAAGCAGAAGTTCACAGCAGTCTGAGGTTTGCTGGAAACAAATGCAGTCTGGAGAAGCAGTCTGAGGACAGGATTGCCCCTTCACTCAGAACACTGGTAGAGGTAAAAGAACTCTCTAGCAACTGACACTCTGCTTCTCTGATCTTCAGCATTAACCCTTAAATCTGAGTCTGGGTTTTAGTATTAATACCAATTAGAATTCGTGCAACAATGGCTGGCCCAGTCTGAGAGCAGAGCTGGGAGGAGGGTCCTTGATCTGTTGCACCCATGGTAACCTCAACCCTCAACCCCCATCCATGTTGGTCATTCCCAGGAGCTTGAGTCCTTGAGGGACCTGCTTGGTTCTGGTCCCACAGACTAAGTGTCTCAGAGTAAGGGACCTTTACTGCTACGCCATTTAGTGCGTTGGTAAAATCTCAGATAACGCTGCAGCTTTATGCCATTGGTGAATTCACTGTGGCATGGGCAGGTGCAGCTTCCTGTAAGCCTGACAAGGCTGAGCCAAGAATGGAGACTATGCAGGTTTCCATAGAATTCACGCTTCCACAGAAAGATTGAGAGGATGGAAGAAAAACTGGTAGAGCAGTTAGAACCTGCAGGATGTCTTTGGAGTGAGCTCCATCAAAGCTTTTCACTGACCTGTGTTCCTAAACTACAAACTGTGAATTATACGAGCCAAACAGTTGTTTTTCTCAGTAGACAAAAAATTAAGAAGAGGAAAATTTGGATATTCACATGTATAAGAATCAGTATCTTTCACCTGCCACAAAAATCCAACTGGAACTGGATCAAAGACCTTAATGAGAAA